GACTGAAACTATGGGAAAATCTTTCACCTGACTTAAAAAGTAAACCAACTCTGGCAAAAAATTGCTATAAAAAATCTCTGATTCAGGTATATGGTGTATAAAATCCTTCTCTAATCTATAATGACTTTTCACTGCTTTTTTTTTATTATTATCACTATTATTAGTATGCAATTTCCTGTTTATCTTACTACTTCATACATATTATATTATATTATTATTATTGTTATTGTTTTGTTATTGATTTGTTATTGTTTTGTTATTGTTTTGTTATTGTTATTATTATTATTATATTATTTTTTGTATAATTTTTTATGTTAGGTTTGAATTTATATAACTTTTAATTATTAGGCCTACTACGTCGCATGTGACTGATTTTCTGGTGGTCATGCCTTACAGTTTTTATAACTTATTATGACTTCCTTTCACACCAATATTTTACATTATTTAATGATTACTGCTGTCTATTATTTAAGATAATACAATACCTTCATTATTTTCTCATTATATTAACTAATTTTATTTAGATTAGCTTTTTTCTATTGATTATAGTTGCTGTATATTTTTTACTTCATCATTTGATCTTCAAAATGACACCATGAAGGAGTCGAAACGTCGATCTTTTCTTTTAGCGTTATTTGTATGTTAAATAATTTTATTTGAGTGAAAAAAACCAATAAACAAACAAACAATATATATACTTTTGAAAATAAATGCCTTGTTGTCATAATTTTTTGTTTCAATATATATATATATATATATAATGCAACAAACTATTGTAAGCCAATGCCTTACAAAAAGTACAACATCCAGTTCTCAAAGTTGTTTCAGATTACCATTATATTGAGTATACTTGTCCTTAGGCCATACTGTACTTAATGGCCACTGTAAACACATTACTTCTTTAGGTTAGTATATGCTGGATCTACTGACATGTACGTGTGTGGATCTTCATAAGCCAAATTATCTCTCCTCTGTGATTCCACCTTAGGTGGCGCTGTAGCATCATCATCAGCAATGGTTGGCAGGGTGATTTCGTACTCGGTATCACCCGGCACATTTGTCTTTTTTGGTACTTCAAAAACAGTCATGTTCATCCCTGTGGAATGCTCCATTTTCTTATTCTTCTGAGAATAGTAGAACCTAATGTTTAAAAAAACAAAATTTTAGGTTCAGTTCATATAACTTCAACTTCACTATAAGTAATGAGATATAAACATACTTTATTTTAAACAGTGGCCTATGTGTAAGAATGATTAAGATGTTAAATAATTTACAGAAAAACTTTGTTTTTTGTATGAAACAATGTTGATGTTTGTAACATGTTTCTAATGATTTTTAAATCAAATTGATCCTAATTTAGCTTAGAAATCAAAACAAAATCAAGCATCGTTTTAATTCATAGATTTTAAAATTTTAAATATATATATTTTTTAAAGTAAAACAATTGTTTAATTGTATTTATTTAGATTTATAATATGCATTATATATAAACTAAAAATTGAATCTTAATTTTAATTACTGGTAAATGTTAGTCATAAATAACTTTTTTTTAAAGAAAAGAAAATGTTTAGTTGTATTTATTTAGATTTATAGTATGGATTTAAACTAAAAATTAAATTTTAATTTTAATTACTGGTAAAATGTTAATATTAAATAAGACTAATTGCAAAATACAATAATCAAGCAACATTATTTTGAAAAGATTTTTTATAAATTCAGATAAAAACATAAAGAAATGAAAGCCAACTAAAAGCTGTAGGTCTATATCACAATTAAGCTATTCCAATAAGAATTTTCCTATACATACGATAGAAGTCAAGTAATGAATACTAAACTAAATGAAATTAGAAGGAAAATAAGAATTATAATTCTACACATTACGGAAGTGTAAATAGCTGTAGCTTTTTATCACAATTAAGCTATTCCAATAAGCATTTTCCTATACATACAATAGAAGTCAAGTACTGAATACTAAACTAAATGAAATTAGAAGGAAATTATAAATCTACACATTACGTAATTTGTGGGCTTTATATCTTTTTAACATTTAATTTTTTAACGTATTGTATATATTTTGTGTTTATATTTTAATATTCATTATTTCAAATTGCACTTGGCAATGTATGTATTCAAAAAAACAATTTAGATTTTTATATACATTTGGATCTTTTTATAGAGAAGTCAATAAATGAATCTTGAATGTATTTTGTAATCAATAATATTACAGGTATTAAGAATTTTGAATAAAATAATATAAATATGAGTGTCATTGACAATTTAATCAGGGCATGGTTTACCATGGCAACTTGGAATACAAAAAAATAATAAATGTCAATGAATTTAATGGCATTCTCTTAAATATAGTCATGTGTCTTTGAGCTCTCAAGAATAGATTGAGTTAAAATAAAAGTAAATGCTAACAATGGCATAGCAACCATCCTCTATATATTATAATGAATGTAGTATCATCAGAAGTAAACTGATCCCACTACAAAAACATTTTTGTTAGTTAAAATCTAAAACATGAACACATCAAGACACCTGCAAAAGAAGATCAATGCTGGAGACATCAGAAGGTTTATGACACAAAGAAAAACGTAGCAACTATCCTCTATTATAATAAATTTAGTATCAGAAGTAAATGGATCCCACTTGAAAAGAATTTTAGCTAAAAAGCTAAAGCATGAATACATCAAGACACCTGCAAAAGAAGATGAATGCTGGAGACATCAGCAGGATGATGACACAAACAATTACTACTACCGCTATCAGGTAACCAGGTATTGATGATGAATTACAATTGCCTTAAAAAAATAAATAAAAATGCATTCTTTCTAAGAATTAAAAATATCCTATAGTACTGAACAACATTATATATAGCACTGAAAACAATATATATTAAAGTATTTTGGAATAAATACTGTATATAACATTATAATATTCTATGTTATGTTGTATGTTTGATGAGATGCAAATAAATAAAATAATTTAAGTATTATGATTATTACTGTAAAAAAACTGCAAAAAACTTCAAATTTACTTATTCATCAATCACACAAACAGATGATGTTAATAAAATATAAAATGATGAAAAGAACAAAAAACTCAAAAGAGCTTAAAAATTAAGGTGTCCTAAATAAGAGAAAACAATATTATATTATGTTTAAAATGCAAAAATATAGTGAAAAAATAATAAATTTGAATCAGTAACTCATACATTATTAATTAATTATATAAATATCCTACACGTAAAAATGCAAAACACTCAACAACAAACCCATATGCAAATACATAAAAATAAAATAAACAGGTCAATAAAGTAAATAAATAAATAAATAAATACTGTATAACACCCTGCTGTAGTAGAATGTCCTTACCTGTTATGTTAACACTAAAAGAACAGCTGGCTTTATTGCCATCAGTATCGACAGCAGAACAAGTGACATCAGTTTCACCAACATTAAATGATGAACCAGAAGATGGACTACAAGTAGCTGACAGACCACTATCAACATTGTCACGGACTACTGGGTCACTCCAGGTCACTGTAGCTAATTGGTTTATATCATCAGGGCATATCACAGTGGGTTGGCCCGAAGAACCTGTAATTATAGAGGTTTTTATATTAATACGTACAATAGTTTGTTGATCATAACCTGCACTTTTTGTAATTCTGCATCTCACAGGTTATGGCATGCATCACATTTCATGTATTACATGTCATATTCATCCCATGGCAAATATATCACATGTAATATGTAATGTAATTGGATATATAGCACTTTATACAAAAGTATCAAAGCACTCGAGGTGTGGACTAGCTTGCACAGTATCACATGTCATGAGTGTTTGTCATATGTCCATCACATTCACAACATGTCAACGTATCACATTATGAAATATGCATAATACGGTACACATGCATCACAATATGCATCGCACAATGATGAATAAAATGGAAAATGTGTTGTGTAACTGTAGCACTTCTTCCCCACTGAAAATAAAACCAAATTCTTTAACTGTCACACCAGCCTGTCTATTTGAAGGTGCGCTGCTCTGGGGCAGATGCAGGATTTGGTGGTAGGGGGTGCATACAAAAAATGAGGAAAAGCACCTCAAAACTGCTGGAAATGACATTTTATATAGTAAAATTCATCATTATCACATCATCATTATATAGTCAAAATGAAATGCAAAGAATCCCATGATCTTTTATCAGCGATTTTCGGTAACCACAGAGATCATATAATTAGTATATAATATATACAAAATAAAAGCTGTGAGTCACAACCACCTCAGCTGCACCAATGGTTGGGGCTAAGGTGAGAAAATAATATCTTTAGATGGCCTGAAATGACACTTTTATATTGTAAAATTCATCATCACACCATCAATATAGTCTAGATGAAAGCGACAGCACAGGCTTTAGCATAATGCGCTATATAAGCCAAAATTATTATTATTATTATTATTTTAAATCAGGGATGTTCTAATTCAACGTTCTATTGTCTGTGGCCCATATTTGGGCCTCCAAACATTTTTGGAGGGCCGCGAAGCCTTCTGGAAATTGATGCCCCCTCGGAAGCTAGACACTATGTTATCGTCTAGTATTAACCCTGTAAGATCGAATAAATCCGGTATGGAGGAATGATGTGATGAGTCATGAGCTAAAGATAAAAGTAAATATAAGACCTGTAAGAGGAAGAACACTACAGTAAACAACACCACACATTTCTTGATAACCGAATGCCCATGTGGATACTTTATTACATAATACCTGTATTATAGCAAGGTAGATTTTCAAAGTTGCGGAGTAAGAGGAGTGTACGTAAATGTTTTTGGAGGAAGGAGAAAGCTATCAGGGGGGGATTTAGGGGGCGCCGGACCAGCCCCCCTTTTGGGAGGTAAAAAAAAGAAAAAGAAAAAAAGAAAAAAGAAAGAAAAAGAAATAATGATAGCCCACAACGCCTCAAAATGTTATTTTCGGGCGTCTAGAACACAAAAATTTCGCGGACCCTTAAAGACATTGTCGTCTCGATCGTCCCAAATTTCGGCCGCCCCCTTTTGGACATCTCTGGATCTGCAGCGGCTATGACCTGTCTCTTATACACATCTAGATGTGTATAAGAGACAGGCTCTAGGTGAGTAGCAGGACCAGGTTAGCTGACCTGGTTTGCCGACTCTGGAATAACTGCCCAGGTTAGCTAACCAGGTTTGCTGACTCAGATTAACTGATGCTCAGCTGAATCGATAATCGGATACTAGGGTAACAGTCTAGACATACACAGATGCTGACCCATGTTTGGTTGTGAGATTAAATGCCTTTTGGGTAACTGTTTAGGTCAGCTTAATATATTAGCTGACAAGGTTAGCAATATATGCTGATTATTTTAACTAATACTGGGTTATCTGGCTAGGTTATATATTAATATGTTAACTGACTAGGTAAAATAATTATTAGGGTATTTGACTAATTAGGCTAACTGCTGTCTCTTATACACATCTAGATGTGTATAAGAGACAGCTACTAAATCTTTTCCGAGCCACTGGGGCTCATAGGGCTGGAGCTTATCCCCAGTTTCTGTAGTGTGAAGCGGATGAGAATTGTACTCCCCATGGACGGGACACTAGTCCATCGCAGGTTAGTCCCCAGCAGTTTCCTGGTACCCATTGATACAGCTGGGTGGACTGTAGCAATGTAGCTAAAGTGCCTTGCCCAAGGACACAAACGAATTTGCACAGCAGAGACTCGAACCTCCGACCTTACGATTGAAAGCCCAAACGTCAACCACTGCGCCAAACTGCTGCAATCATCAAAAAAGCAAACATTACCATACGAATTATCATTAAAATCAGCTTTGTTTTCATTAATCATTGTCAGTACCTTCATCATCATTGTAATCATTATCTTTAATTATTCCTATGTAACATCATCATCATTCATATCATTAATCATCATCACCAATATAATAATAATCATCATTTTCAAACATCATTAACATCAACATCAGTTTTACCATCATCGCTGTTTGTTCAAACATCATTCTTCATCATCATATCATGCCATTCTGCTTCATTTTTCTTACTAGGTGTACCTATCAAAGTAACCAATGCAGAGGATGGGGTCACCAAGACAGAGCCACTGGAACTTTATTCTTACTTAAATGAGATTGGGTGAGAGCCACAGTGTAAATAGTACTACAGCTATATTTTTCAAGGAGGACTCTATAATAATTTATATATTATTTGTCATTACATATTCATTTATTTATGTCTATTTCAAATCAGAGCTGATCATTTGGAGGACCTAAACAATAGATTACATTAAACAATTAAATTTAAAAAAATTATTTTTTTTGCAGAGGCAAACACGGAGTTGGTCGTATAGATATCGTTGAAAATCGTTATATTGGGATGAAGTCAAGAGGTGTTTATGAGATGTTTTGTTTCTGTAATTATCCTTACATCTCAACATTTTGAATTTTTTAAGTATTTTTCCCGAACTCAGGAAAGGTTAAATAAGCAATATATGGCCACTTGTCTCATCCCCGCACCCCCCCTTTAAAAGCGATGGTTGATAATTCTGAGTTAATGATAATTGGATTGACTGAAACTTGGTGCAATGCAAGCGTATTAGATAGTGAAATAGCTCTGGATGGATATAGTGTTTTTAGAGATGATAGATCAGAAACACAAGGAGGAGGAGTACTATTGTATGTACATGAATCTCTAAAAGCTACATCTTTCACAGAACTAAATGTTTCAACATTTGAAAATTCTACCTGGTGTAAAATTAAGCTGAATGAGCAAGAATGTCTTTTGGTGGGACTAATTTATCGCAGTCCAAATAGTTCGGAAGAGAATAACACTAAACTGATCAATGACCTGCAGTTTATAGGTACCCTCAATTACAGTCATATTCTGATTCTTGGAGACTTCAATTTTCCAGAAATACATTGGGAATATGGAACTGTAAATGCTGGTGACAACCACCCTGCATGTCTATTCTATGATACAATTCAAGACCAATTCCTAATGCAACATGTGAATTTCTGTACTCGTTTTAGAGATGGTCAAACTGCTTCAACTCTTGACCTAATATTGACTAATGATGATTATTCCGTGGACAATTTGTCGGAGGTAGCGCCAATTAGGAAAAGTGACCATGTAGGAATAGTTTGGACGTATTTATGCAGAATGGAGATTGTAACAAGAGAGCATGAGAATGGTGGGAAACTAAACTACAGTAGAGGGAATTATGTTGCTATAAGAGATAAATTAGCTCAAGTGGATTGGCATGGTCTTCTTCAAAACAAAGATTGTGAGGATTCATGGAATACTTTTAAGAATATTTACAATTCAGCTGTACTTCGCAATGTACCATTTCAAAAGACGAAAAAGAAATTGAAGCCTCCTTGGTTGAGTGCACGAGTTAAAAAAGCAATAAAAATTAAATACAGCTTATATAGGAAGTACAAGAGAACAAACTTGGAACATCATAAAAAGGAATATAAGATTCAAAACAACAAAGTTAAAACAATAGTGAGAGAAGCTCAAGCAACCTATGAAAAGCAGCTGATTGGCTCCTTCAAGCAGAAACCAAAGGCATTTTATAGTTACATAAGAAAAAGTCAAAAAGTTAAAGTTGGCGTTACCCATATTGAAAAGTCAGATGGGTCACTTACCATAAATGATCAAGAATCTGCTAAAGAACTAAGTAAATTTTTTCAATCAGTTTATACACAAGAACCTGATGGAAATTTGCCTAACATTATGTTGAAAACCGATCAGAAGTTATTGGACATACCATTCTGTAAGGAGGATATTGATAAGAAACTAAAGCAGTTGAAACCAGAAAAGGCTCCAGGACCTGATGATATCCATCCAAGAGTAATGAAAGAGTGTAGTCTTCGTACCATTAAAAGGTCATTCAAATATATGGATATAGAGAGCTTTAAAATATTATATAAATTATATGTTAGACCCCACCTAGAATATTGTATTCAGGCTTGGAGCCCGGGCTTAAAAAAGGACATAAGTATACTGGAAAAAGTTCAAAGAAGAGCTACAAAATTACTGCCATATTTGAAAAATATGAGTTATAGTGAGAGATTAATCAAATTGAATCTGTATACCTTGGAACAACGGAGAGTTAGAGGAGATCTTATTGAAACTTTTAAAATTGTTAAGTCCTTTGAAGACGTGGATTGTGGAACATTTTTTATCTTTGTCGATGACACTAGCAGGAGAGGACATGAATATAAATTATACAAACCAAAACTTAACAAATTTTTGAAATGCAGAATGGAATTCTTCTCATGTCGCATAATAAACATCTGGAATAGCTTACCGCAAGAGGTTGTTGCTGCCACAACTGTAAACACCTTCAAGAACAGACTGGACAGCTGTGGGGTCTTAAAGGCGTTTGCCTAACTTTTCCCACTTATATCAAGTATCAAGTAAGTAAGTAATAAAGGCATGTTCACTCAGAATCAAATTACGAGCACTCAAGTCGCGTATTAAAGGTAATTCAGATGTTTGTGGGCAGAGATACCGGCATCTTGCTATAAAATAAGATGCACTCTGGCAGTAGAGCGCTCTTTCGTTAAAACCTAGTTCATATATGCAGTTTATTTCAACAATTTTGAGGCATATCCTCTTGAATCTCAAAAAGTGAGGGTGTGTCCCCCTTCTCACATGATCTGCTTCAATAGGGTGTGTGAGAGTTCACATTACCTCAGCCCTAACATGGTTGGAGCTGAGACACCCCCCTCTTCCCACATGATCTGCTTCCATGGGTGCGTGAGAGTCCACATTACCTCAGCCCTAACATGGTTCGGGCTGAGGTGCAAACATTTTGAGAATATGAACCTCTGGGTCCTTGGAAATTTCACTCTCATACCTTAATAATCCTACAAATAATTCATATCAACAATATGATACAACAATTATTTTTCTTAATACAATTTAGGGGGGTGAGCACCCCCCATGCATCCGTCGCAAAAAATATGAAATAAAAAATATGAAATTAACATAATCACTGCTTAGAAAATTATTATTCAAAATGATAATATTCAATATACAAATCATTATAACATACCTGTAACACTGACATTAAACATGCAACTGTCTTCATTATTAGCAACATCAGTAACAGAACAAGTAACAATAGTTGAGCCAATGGTAAATGATGAACCAGAAGGTGGAGTACAAGTAGCTGACAAACCAGTATCAACATTGTCACTGACTGTTGGGTCATTCCAGGTCACTGTAGCTTGACTTGAGGATGTACTCATGGCAATGTTACTGGGGCATATCAGACTAGGATTAACGGTGTCTTCTGTAAATAGTGTGGAAAATATGTCATTAAAATATAATAAACTACAAATAGGCAGACAACCAAAGCAGTTGTGCTTGGGCTTTGAATAACCTGCCTTTTTAACTTTCTTAGGTGGCGAACCACTTTTATACCCTATTCTTTTACAACCCATGGCATGATATTGTCATACTATAATGCTATTGTCATGTTATGCGTTGATTGCAGGCTCATGATTACAAGTTCAATAAAATCATAATGCGACTGTTTATTGACATATTGCCATGTTTTTCAGAAATCTATGCTAGTACAATTTGCAATCACTTTCCTTCCAATTTATCAAGTACAGATATGCTGTTGTATTGCTACAGTCGATCTCGGCTAAGTTGAATACAAAGTAGCTGTGATAAATCATCAATTTTTATTTACTTGGCAAAAGAACACTAGGCATTAGTTATTTAAGCAAATAGGCCCCCATTGAATCCGCCACTGTAAATGACATTTTTTATCATTCTTAACAGTGTTTCAATTGAAAAGTGTATATCACTTCTGCATCAATTCCATGATGGCATGTTTGCCCAGGTCTGCATAGGCGGCGAGACATCGGAAGCATTCTGGGTTGCGCATAGTGTGAAACAATGGTTGCCCATGGGCACACACACTTTTTACACTTTTCTTGTCGGCAGTTTTAGAGTTCATCAACCAACATCTGGCGGAAGGGTCTACATCCACACCACGGTGTGCAAAGTCTTCAACTTGGCTCAACTAAAGTCCACTCTGTTCTTGTTCGCGAGCTGTTGTATGCTGATGACACCGCCTTTGTTGCACATAACCACAATGACTTGCAGAAGATTTTTATTATATTCAGTCATGTTGCCAGTGACCTAGGGCTGTCTATAAATGCTTCAAAGTCTCAGGTTATTTTCACTCCTTCCACATCACTCAAGGACATACTTTCAGTTCTGATCAACAACACCCCACTGTCTAGGGAGTTCTATAGTGGCCGACGGCAGCATCGACTGTGAGATCAATGCCAGAGTTAAGGCGGCTTATACAGCTTTTTCGTGTCTACGCCATCACCTCTGGTCACAAAGAAACATCCATTGCTTGATGAAATACAAGAAAATTTATGATTATGGCACCTCTCGATGGCTGGAAATGGCCCTCTTAGACTCAAAATTTGAAAGAATTTTCTTGTTTTCTCAAATTTTTTAAAATTTTTAAATATTTAGGGGGACCTGGGCCAGCTAGGCCCCCATTGAATCCGCCACTGTAAATGACATTTTTTTTATCATTCTTAACAGTGCTTCAACCTATGTTTTGATGTTGAACACATTGCATTAATGTCCATAATTTTGCATGATGCAGGGATGTAGTTATGGTGGACGGAGGCCACCCAGCCTTGGAGTTTTCCACCCAATCTAAAGCTAATTTCAGGGTCCTCAACCCACCCTTATTAACCCACTTTTCCATCCTTAAAATCCAATCTTATTATTTTGAGTTTACTCAATGTTATCACCCACCCATCCTTAAAATGTTAATCACCCATTCTTAGTTTTCTACAGCTACAACCCTAATGATGCGATAAAATATATGGAGAGAATTTTAAGACAATTTATCGGAGAAATTATACTTTATGCAGAAACATGGCCTTGGAGACTTACCAATGATATAAACTGTAAACATACAGCTACCTGTCCTACCAGCAGCATCAGTAGCATCACAAGTGACATCATTTGAACCAAGAACAAATAAGGAACCAGAAGATGGAGTACAAGTAGTTGACAGATCAGTATCAACATTGTCAGTGACTGTTGGGTTATTCCAGGTCACTGTAACTTGGCTTGAGGATGTACTCATGGAAATATCATCAGGACATGTTAAATTGGGACTCTCATTGTCTAGAACATAAAAAAACATACAAATTCAAAATTTATGTTAATGTTTCTTTGATATGTTAAAATATATATAAAAATTAAATTAATTCTTGCCAATGTTACAAACCCTGTAAATCATTATTTAATTGAACTGAATTGAATTGAATTTATAATTTACATTAATATTTATTTATTAGGAAATACTACAGCAGCATGAATAGATTAAATATAATGAATTAAAATGATATGGTATGAACAATAGGCCTACCATTAACAAAAAAATCCCATAATGTGAAGGGTTAAAATTAAGAAGATTAGTTTATACGAATAACCACACTCAGTGGACCTATAATATAAATATACAAGACGGGTACACACTGCGTCTGACGGTTGTCGGCAAACACAATTCCACAGAGAACAAAATAGAATGAAATGTGCGCAAAGTTTTTCATGATGATCTACTCAGACTGCAACCAACTACCAGCTGATGTATGAAACGCTCACAGAGATTGGACATGGATTCACCTGTCAACAGCCATACAACAATTGTATGGCGCAGCGTGTGCCCAGCTTAAGACAACCATATTGTCCTTTTTATTCAAGGGTTGAAAATATGATTATTTAATCATTTCAAGAAGAGTGTCCCCATTGCCCCAATGGGGTGGGGATGGGGGATTTGGCCAGTGTTAAAAGATATACTTCATTTCACAAAAAATTGTCCTTTGAATAGGGGTTTCTACTGAATATAAATATTACAAATGGTTTCATAAATGAGCAAAACTTACCATGGACAAAAACAGTAATTGTGCAGGAACCAACATTGCCATTACTGTCAGTTGCGGTACACGTAACAGTATTGGTACCAAGTGGAAATGATGAACCAGAAGGTGGAGTACAAGTAGCTGCCAAGCCAGTGTCAATATCATCAGTTACTGTTGGATCACTCCAAGTTCCAATTCCTGTTGATTGGCCTGGAGATGTAGGTACACTAACACCACCAGTACAGGTCACAACTGGCTCTTCAGGTACAAACACTGTTAGTGAAAAAAGAAAACATTTACATTTATAGCATAAAAGATAAGGTATATTTATGTAATCATTACCATATTGCTATTATACTCACAGTTTAGCACTATATGGCATCTAGAAAATATACAGTATGGTAAAACAAATAATAGTGACCATCTTGAGACAAAATGTATGAAAATTTGTCTCAATTCATTCCTAATCTAATATTTTATTTTGGTACAGAATTTAGACAAAGGTGGAAACCATTTTTATTATAGAAACAATCCTAGACTGGTTGACAACAGTTGACATACAAAAATAACAAATGCCATTTACTTTTAAAGTAACCTGTAGCTTTGGAAAAAATACTGTCACTCTAATAGGAATTTGATCAGGTTTATGTATTTTTTGGTAACCTGGCGATAACATACTTTCAACATTTTTAGTCATTAAGGCGAGACTTCCTTTATTCCTTGTTTCGCGTACTTATTTTTTTAAAGATTATCGGAGGAGGGCGGAATAAAAATAAAAATAAAATTTTCTTTTCTTATTTAACAAATGGTTTTTCCAAAAACATTCAGACGAAGGAGAAACTAAAAATAAAATTTTATTGGTGAATGTAAAATAGGATGGTTAAATGTTTCAAATTTATAAAATTAGGAAGAAATATACATATCTTATCTTTGGAGATTTCAAGGCAGCAGAGGGCATAATAAAAATAAAGAAAAACCTTTATTTTTTTCTTAAGGTTCCACTTTTTCGTGGCAGTGGGTGCGCTAATTGGCCAAAAATAAAATTTAGTTTCATTCGAAATCATCAATATTTGCAGTCAGCGGGTTCGCGAAACAAGGTATAAAAAAATTTATGCCTAATGTGTCATTCTCATTATTGGGTCAACCTCAGGTTGTAGTATGTAGCTATGTTATCAGTTCATCCATGTCACATTGGGATTGAAATCCAATTGCTTGTGACCAATCCAATAGGTCAGTTGTCTGAATTAGTTCAGGGGAGCTGGACTGAAAACCACTACAGTAGCAAGTTCCAGATTCAATTTATTCATTATTTTATACATTATCAAATATTTTCTGGATGAATAGCAACATTCACCAATAGAGGGCAGTAGACAAAAAACACCTGCTGTGAGCCTATTTGTCAACAACACTTTACCCTAGAAATACACAATCCCAATAAACATAAGAAAGAATATGGTAATATAAATGAAAAAAATACTAAAAGATATTTAGACATATAATTATAAATATTAATGTCCTAAAAATCCATAGAGATGTATAAGCAAACTTTACAATAATGCAAAATGTTTCAAATCATCAATAAACAATAGACAAATCAATATAATTTACCTTCAACATTGACAACAAACATGCAACTGCCTACATTATTAGCAGCATCAGCAGCAGAACAAGTAACAGAATTGGAACCAACAATAAATGAGTGACCAGAAGGTGGAGTACAAGTAGCAGACAGACCAGTATTAACATTGTCACTGACTGCTGGGTCATCCCAGGCCACTATAGCTTGATTTAAAGCTGCAACTGTAATATCATCAGGGCAGGTCACACTTGGAGGTTCATTATCTAGTAAAACAGTTAATAAAAGGTGATTACTCTGTATTCAAATAGTAATTGAACTTTTTTTTTACAAAATTGTTTTCATTAATTTAGTTTCCGATAATATTTTTTTTTCTAATTAGTGGATTACAGTAGTCACTAGTGTTCTCTTATTTACACACAAGGTTATGATTAGATAGTGAAGATTATATTTTTACATGTTTGTCAGGATTAATTTGAACTATACTGAGGGCAGCTGCCAATTAAATTTGCTCCCTATAAAAGACTTGTTATTTTTCTTTTTAAATACAATAATAATAATATGCAATTATAGTCATGTTATGAGTACACTATAGGAAATAGAAGCCTAAGGAACTGTAGCGTCTCTACTATTTGTATTTAAACCACAATATTCAATTTGTATAATCTTTCATATTTCATTTGTAAACCTTACTCTATGTATATTACTGTACACTGTATTATTGATATATTCAGCTTAAGTTCAACTAAGGACAGCAACCTGTTTCCTTATGGTACCAGAAACTTAGATGACAAATAAGTCAGAAATGTACTGTACCATGGTAAACAATATCCCACTTTTATTAACTAAAAATATGACATCATGTAATCATCCTTAATTCATATTGGTCAAGTATTACATCATCTTTTGAATCATCCCAAATATAATAAGGAGTGCTACCCCAATATAACACAGTATTCCTATTGCTATACACTTTTTCACATTGTTCTCATTTGGATTACTACCTCAACTGTACTTTGCAATATTTTATTTGTTTGATTTCATCAATACCCAAGTGTTTTTGTAGCTTACAATAAGCATTTTTTCACTGGAAATAAATTATATTACATCTATTAATGTTGGTTTGTTGTATTCTTCCCGTTGCGCCATTCAACAACTAAAGAACCATTATTTACTGAAAAAATTGCACAAGCCCGCAGCTGGGCTTAAAGGCAATTTTGAAGGAGTGGAGTTGAATAGCTTGGAGGTTAAGATGTTTGCTTTCTAATCACAGGGCCCTGGGTTCAATTCCTGTCATGGTAACAGGATTTTTTCTCACGACCAAAACAACTTCACTCCATAAACCTCAATGGCACTGGTCTATGTAAAGCATCATGTGTTTATGTCATATGAAGTGATTGCCACCTATCTAATAGGACAGTGATTAAGTCGCTATTGGTAATCCTTGGCCTGAAGGAATAAAATAAAATAAATAAATAAATAAATTTTTAAAAAATTAAGTAAATAATGGCTCCGAAGCTCCGAAGACTATTTTGTATAGAGTATGAAATTACTTGACTATAATTGCTTTATAAGTCAGTTGTTGTCACCTTTTCTATGGTCCTTTAATCAAACTGCTAGTTGTAGATTGGATGCTATAATCATAAAAAAAACTGCTGGTTGCAGTGACCGGTTGCTCAGTGATCAATACATTATACTGCGTGTGTACGGATTAGCAGTGCGTATTAGAATGATTTGTTAGTAGAACGCACACTGACACCCTTCGCACAGCTCTTAATAATAGAAGATGATGAATAAATTGATTGTGGTTAATGAAGTTTTTTTAGGGTCATTAGGTTGGCCCAACCTCCTGGTAAACATTTGTTTAATAGATTAAAAATTTAACATTTAAATATCTAAAAGTCCATCAATTTTTGGCTTCACTTCCCACACTGCACTTATGTCCTATCACTCAACCCCACAAGATATCCTTCACTGTCAGGCCACTATAGTAAAATATACAATAGTATAATATAACATGTTTTGACTGTTTGTTATAAAATTAGAAATCTAAAAAAGTTAATAGGCCATTCCTTGTGGGGGAACTCTCCCACTTCCACAACTTACACCTCATTCAACTTTCAGCAGGCCTCACATAGTCCCTAGACCCCCAACTTTACAGTACGGTAACTGCCTATTACATTTAATACAGGGCTCAGAGTGAAGATGTATTTTTGTAATGAAGAAATATCCTAGTGTCACAGAACCAATGTGTTAAAAAGAAAGCACCTTAACTGCCATGGACTGCACATGACAAGTAAATCTTTGACATTTTTTAATAGGAGATTAAATTAATGAATTCTTTTTAAATTCTTATTTATGTTGTTTTTCTAAATCAACAAACACAATATATCACAACGTATTATTTAATAAATTACTAATTTCTCAAGTAATTGTAAATATTAAATTACTCAACACTTACCTCTGATGGTTACAGTGAAGGTGCAGGAACCAGTATTACCACTGCTGTCAGTTGAAGTACACGTAATAGTATTGGTACCAACATTAAATGATGAGCCAGAAGATGGAGTACAAGTAGCTGACAAGCCAGTGTCAATATCATCAGTTACTGTTGGCGGATTCCAAGTTACAGTTCCTGTTGATTGGCCTGGGGATGTACCTGTATTAAAACTAGTTGGACAGTTCACAACTGGTTCAACAGGTACAGCTACATACAAAATAAGAGTTACAGAATCATGTATACTTTCACACAGCATTTAAAAATTTATTCTAAAAATACATCACCATGATTCTTCAAGTGCAGGTAATCTATTATAAGTGAGTGGTGACGTCATCACTTATATTTGCACTGAATTTTCCTATACCCAACTGATCACTATATTGATATAGCGCCTCAGATATTTTGCGTCTTGTGCAAAAAAGCTCAAAGCTGCAGGGTGATTTTACTACAAAACATTGCAATGGAATTTTTTGTTGCTAGGTCAAGCTATGAATGCACACTCAACAAATGAAGCCTAGATTCAAGATTCAAGATTCGGTAAAAACTCAGAAACATTCCACTGGCAGTTGTTACAAGTGTTCATAACATACAGTATACAGTAATAAACAAAAGACAATTCAGGATATAAAAATATAAAACTATGAGCACCAAACAACATATATTCATAAGAAAGAGTACAAACAGAATATTAAACATTGTTAAACAATATCACACTTTAAACCTAATTCAATTAGGCCAAAATTGCACTTAAACAACAATGATCTATTTACATTATTATTATGAAGGTTAATGGATTTGTAACGAAGGAGTTTCTATAATGGCAAAATGTGGTGAGTAGTACATTTAGACGAAAACGAGAGTTAAGAGTAAATGTAGTGGATGAGTGGCTTACTATAGAAAGGCATAATGGTTATGGGATAACAAGGTGATTGACTTATAAAACTACTGAAAAAAATAATGAAATTGTTCATAATATGTTCACAATATATTTTAATCTATTAAACAACTACCAAGAGTTTAGGCCTACTTAATAACCAGTGGTAAACTTTGATAACCACAATCAAATTATTCATCTTATTCATATCGCGACGAGCTGTGCGAAAGAGTGTCAGTGCACGTACCACTAAGAAATCATTGTAATACGCGCAGCTTATGCATACACACAGTGATCACTAAGCAATCAACACTTCGATGGATTTATGATATAGGTCCTATAGCAACTGCTCTAAGACCAGCAGTTTGATTATGAAAGGCCATAGAAAAGGCGATGGACATCACAACTGACTTATAAAGCAATTATAGTCAAGTAATTTCATACACTATAGAAAATTGAAGCCTTAGGAATATTTCCTTCAAAAATTGGCTTCAGCCCTGCAGCGTGCTACTGTATATGATCTTTGGTTACAGTACCTTACACTGATGTCATGCTGCTAAAGAGGTATCATAATGGCCTAAACTTCATAAAAAAATTGCCAAAAATAGATTTTAAAGTTGATTCTATTAAATGACATATCAAAATCCACTCCAGTAAAAAATATCATCTTTCTAGGCCCCTTTTAACTGTACAGTATTACTGATGACATTCCATCCAAACACAAAATTGATAGAAAAACTTTCTTAAACATTCTAGCTGTATTCTCAAAAGTGGACTATTTTCTGAATACAGGCCTCGATCTGTTTTGTAATACAGTAGGTAAAATAAAGTCATGATGCTCATTAATAGTATAATTATAAGGATGATGACTAAATTTGAGAATGGTCTTAAACAGAAACAGGCAAATGATTCCACAAAAAAAATGAATGTTTGTACCTCCATACACTTGAACTTCACACAGAGTGAGCTTCATGTTATTAGTGCCACTTCGATATACGAAAACATAACGTCCATTAATTGATGGATTGCAGTCTATCTGGTAGAAACCAAAGGAAGACAGCACGGTTGATGTGGTGATAGTAGATCCGCACTTGTTATTACCCCAAGGAACTGCCAATACATTTTCAACATGCACCTCTGAGTCAATCAGACTGGCTGCAATACAAAATGTTAAAACTGTATTTATATTAGTTAGTTAACCCTTTCACTGCCGGCTGTTTATGTGTTAAGCCAACCACAGTGCCAGCTGATTACACTGCCATAATACGCTGTGTGCCAGCTGATTATTTACCAAGGTCAGCTTAAAGCCTAATTTTGATAGTGTGTTATTATTTGTCACATAACTCATAAATTATTGAAAATATGAAAAAATAAATCTAAAAAACTTTGTTCAGCATAGATTTTTACATATACCTATGCTATTTCTTCTACAATTTATAGCCATTTTTTGATTTAAAACTGAAGATGTTTTCTCCTCCATAATTAAAAAATGTTTTGATATGACTTTGCTTATTTTTACAGAGTTTGAAAGACATTTGGATAGTTCTGAATAAAAGTTGCTGATGTTATTTATAATACATTATTTTTATAACCAATTATTGGATCCCAAATAAAATATTTTGTCCAAGAGACAGGGCCAACACACAACACAGACAGCACACACATGACTAGGAGTAGGATAGGCCTAGCTAGCCTAGGTAGGCCTGCTGTAATGTAGGACAAAATTCCTACTATGCCGGGTCCTTACACAACAAAAAAGCAATACCAAAAAGCCAAGTCCTACCTATTTCTGTTCCTTTTCCCCCCGACAATAATTGACTGTTTTTTTCTACCATAATTCAACCGAACAGAGTTCATCCACACATGTCATAGATTTATCCTTCTTCCAAAAACTTTCACGCACACTCAGTCACTCCACAACTTTCAAAGACATTTTTGTGGTTCATCCACTACTTTAGCAGCATGCACAAAATGTGCATTCGCAGTAACAATGAAGCGGATCTATTAAAACTATTTTCTCCGTGTTAAAATTATCTTTGTTGTTTTTTTTTTATTTCTCAGAAAGCTTCATAGCCCTCTAAAAATGTCTTGAGGCCAAAATTTGGGCCATGGCCCTTAGTTTGCGGAATGTCGCATTTGGCAATATGCTGTGGTGAATACCAGCACAAAAAAACATTTATTTTTTTTAGTTACATATGATTTAATTTACATGTAGTATTGTCAAAAGCATTTAAAATTTACCTTGGTTTCCATTTTCTGGAATTATAAGAACATAGTCAACACTGTAGATGTCTCCTAAATCAACATACCAAAAATAAGGATTCTGCTGTTGCACTATTAAAATAACAAAAATATTGTTCACATTAATTAATAGTCATTTGCATTAATAAAATCAGAAACTTATAAAATGAATATAATAAATTATTAAATAAAAGCTAGAATACACAACTTGCAGTTAGAATGTTAATAACAAAGAGATCACCATTTATAATAGCCTATATGAACTCAAAATGGTGTTGAATCCACAAAAAGTGTTCCTGATCAGTAATCAAGCCCTCTCTCAAGCCCCATTCAGACAGAGTTGTAATACCGTAATATTGCGGTAAGCACGCCGGCATGGGTTTATGTCTGAAAGGGTTGATACGCCAATATGCAGGCTTACTTTAGAAAACATTGCACCATAGTAATATTGTCGCAATATTGCGGTAACGGTTAATGGCTTGCTCTGTCTGAAAGGATACTGCATGGGTTCTCAAAAACAAAGCTCATTTTTTGTCGACATTGTGAAAACTATTGTTTAAATTATTTAAGTCAACTAGCAAGAATCAACACAACAAGAACATTTATTACACAATATTATTAATTTTATTTTTTGTACACTTTGAGGAAGGTGGCATAAAACATCAATGGACGAGTCATCAGCCCTTCAACCTTGGATCAACAACATTTACACAGTAACGGATGTTTTGATCGGACACCATACTGACAAAAATGTAAATAAAAAATTTCCCCCTCTGTGTTTTAAACTGCCTGTATTACGCCATTATATAGGACCCTTTCATACAAAAAAAGTGTTAAATTACCGCAATATTGCCGTAACAAAGACGCTGTGTCAAAGGCAGACCAGTTATTATGCCGGCATGCTTACCGCAACAATGCGTTAACATCTATCTGCAAGGGGCACCAGAGAGTGGGCTAAAAATAATTTTTGTTATTAACAGTCTTTTCTATTCATCAACTTAACTCCGTCAAACTAATTAAATATGATTAAATAAACATTTTTTTTAATAGTTTAGAATTCAAAGACATTTTTAAAAAGGCCTACATTTAAATTTTGCTCGTTTATTGGATTTCATCAAGATACTGAAGAAAAGGATCTGGTTTGACATTTTAGTACTGTTATAAAATTTTTGAAAAGAAATAGTATTCAACTCCCATTAAAATTTTTACTACAATCAGACCCTGTGATTTAAGTCTTCTGCTGGATTTGGGTCTCATGTTTTTAAAGAAGGTTGTGGTCTTGTCAAAAAAATGCTGGTAATGACAGGCTCCTTAAGGCCCAGGATTTATCAATCTCAACTTAGCAAATGTCTTTAATTACAGTAACTCAAAAAAAGTTAAGATGTCCCTATGCAAATATCTTACAGTAAGCTGAATTATCAAACCATCTTAGCAAAATCTCAGCTTAAAAATCGTCTTGTCATGTGTACAATTTGACTTTTAAATTTAAAGAAATTTTTAAGAAACCAATTGATAAATTTGACTTTAGCAAAAGAAAATGGACTTAGGACGAACTTATGATAATTTCTAGTTTGATAAACAATGCTGATCATGAGAGGCCCCTTTAGGTCCCGGGCCAGGCAGCAGTAGTGTATGAAGGATTTTGAAAATGGGTGATGAATAGTAGGCTAAGGTGATGTGGAGACCATAGCCTACTATCCAGTACAATTGTTTGATACACCTCATACATAGATTCTATAAAGACCTAAAAAAGTAATGAAAAGAGTACACCAAATCTTAAAGCCCATAGGTTACTTCCTAGGCTTAAGCGGTCAAAGGGCCAATCTCTCTCAGCGTTGGAGAGGTTGTGTCCCCTTTACCGTATGTGTCATAAATCACATATTGTAGCAACATTATAGGGTCGCAACAGGGCAAAAAAGTACTAGCATTTTAATGTGATACCCTGTAGTACTTTTATTTCTCAGGAATTTATGAACTATCATTTAACCTACGTCATACCTGTGATGGTTGAAGTTTACTTCTTAACCAATCAGATGCCTAGAATATGCATGCGGTATATAAAAATAAATACATCCACTGAACTTTTTTTGCAAGGTGCAAAACTATAGACGGAGCCAGAGCCTCAATGACTCTGAATACTTCTTACACCATAAATTAGTTGTTATACTGTCTAAAGTAAATTACTTCAACATTTATTTCCATGTCACTGCCCCTGACTGCCAGAGGTGATGGACGCTATGAAACTGCAATTGGGATACTTACTTGTTTGAGAACATGTACTAGAAAAACCATCAACAGCTAAATCAGCAGAATAATCACTACTGGGACTATCAGTTGAAGACTGATCAGCAGACTTGTATCTTGAAACTAATGCTGTTGTACATAAAAATAATATTTTTTTTTTTAATAAATTTTTTTTTTACAAATTGAGAATATAAATGAATTAAATAAATGGATAATTTTGATAACAGGAAATTATTATTTAAAACAAAGAAAAATGTCTCATTTCTAAAAATTTAAACCCAAACCAAACCACATGTTTTCATCTTATATTTGTTTTGGAAATCCAAGCTCTTTTAGTAAGCTAGTCAAAAAATTATGTAATCAATCCATAGCATACACATTTAAAATTGACTGACGGTGTAGACATGGTGAATCCCCAACATAATCAGTGAGTATGACATTAACACATTTTATGATAGGGTTTTTGAAACCAATGACACTCAAAAGTTCTCAAAATGATTGGTGACACCAAAGCATACAACTTGTTATTAAATTTTGTATGTCAATAACTCAAAATACACTTTAATTATTATTTGAAAAAAACTAGTTTATAATACAAAATTTTTCATGGCTTTTTTAGGCAGTTAACAGTTTATATTAAAGAAGTGAGTTTCAGCATCGGGCTGTGGCAGAAAATAAATGTTTGACATTAGTGGAGGAGCTACAGTAACTCTTTGAGCCATACATATTTTAAGAATTTTTCAGATGTCACTGACCTGAATTATAAAATTTTTATTGCAATAGATCTGTAGGTGTATGCAAGGCTGCCAGGCCCCAAGAGTGGGGGGGGGGGGGATTATGCAATTAGATGCCAAATTCAGTTAATTAGAAACATAATATTGTCATTGAATAAATATTGGGTTTTGTTTTTTCCAAATACACCTTATCATTCTTCTTTATTGTTTGTACCAGGCCCTGGGACACTGGCCATGCCTACTTGCCTCTCAGTGCTAGTGCATGTATGGTCATATAAATGAATGAATGGAAGAAATTGTTGAAAGGTTGATGAAAATAAGATGATTGTCTTGTAAGCAGGAGAGTTGTTGACTGACCTTCCACCAGAAGGGAAATAATGAGGCCCCACCCACCCCCACATAACATTAAAGGAATTGTCTCTGCCAGTAGTCCACAATTAACAATTGTATCTACAGCAGGTATGCATTAACGAGGGTGCCTAGCTGTCGTACGTGTTACTACGCTTTCATTAAGGCATACACGTCAATGCTCACGCATTCGGCGTGAGACTCCCCCATTTGCGATCTATTTCATGCTCTCACGCTTGGGGACCAAAATCTCACGCGTAAATGTAATATTGCATATAAAAAAATAATGTGTGTATATTTTGTTATTCTTTTGCTAAATATGTATCTATCATTAAAGTGCTTAAAATAGGATGGTTTTGTCGTTACACATTCAAACACAATTAAATGGTGGCACACCACACCCTGGTTGAGGTGGTAATTGGCTTTCTATTTCAACCTTCTCAAAAATAAATTTTGATAAGGGTCAGTAAATATTTGAAAATCTTCTTTTTTTTTATAGATTAGATTAAAACTTGCTGCAGCAAAACAGAATATGTTGTTCTTTTACAAGGCACTGTCAGTATCGTCGGATAAGATAAAAGAACACACTACCAACCGCTACACGCTCGGTTATGCGAGTGTGACAGGTTCGTGGATGGCAGAAACATGAATTCTCTGGAAAATAATGCGGATTCTTAACCTATTTTCAGCTGTAAAAATACTAGCCTAAAGAATGTATTTCTGAGCATCTAGAAGATCTTTCCTGAGGGGGGGGGGGCATACCTACAACCCCTAGGGGAGGGGTTTTAAAAATAAAATCTCCCGCCTGCAAATTGGTCTAACTTGGCATCTATGTTTAAAGGGCCAGGATATAGGCCTATGCTATACTGGCCCAGGCTAGCTATGCTTAGTTAGGATGGTTCGCGGCCGAAACGGATGGCATTCTCCATACCGTACCTCGGCCATGCTAAGGCTAGCCACCCGAACAGAGTTAGCTAGGGTAGGGCTAGTTAGGGCCTTCCATGGGAAGTAACAAACTAGGCCCTAGCTTAGGCTAGGTAGGCCTATAATACCTAGTCCTAGTAGTAGTAGTAGTATCCTAGTTAGTAGTATGCGCGCAACTGATTAACTTACATTGTTGGGTTAAAGAGATGGACAATTTGCTTAATAGTAGTAACAACAACAGTGATAATCTTTCGTAGAAAATCTCCATATTATCAGGTTCATCAAATATTGGCCTATATCAGACTAAATGCATAATATTATAAACCAGACTCATTCTATCTGTTCAGGTTTAGGAACAGTT